TATATTTTCCAAATTCATCTCGGAACTTTATTATCCTCCAAAATATTATTCTTTATTTTTTTCTTTATCTGATCATCTCCATCTTTTGAAAATATTCTGATCTTTAATTTCTCGAACTGCTGCTTCTTTTTCACTCCCACCCCCAAAACAAAAAAAGAGCACACAAAAATCAAATGACAAAAAAATTAAAGAAAGAAAGATTGATATGGTAAACAGAAAAAAGGGCATTTTTGATAGAATAGTCTGTGCAGAAAAAAAAGATTTTTTTTATAATTTATATATATATATATATATATATATATATATATATATATATATATATATATATATATATATATATATATATATATATATATATATATATATGTTAGTGAACAGATGGTACCTTGCGATGGTTTGGTTCATGGGTCAATGTTAGGAGTCTTTGGTCGGCTGAGTTGGTTGCTGAAATCAATCGAGACCTTGCGATGGGTGTCGGCGTGGGGATGTTGATCGGCGTCTCTTGTCCGGACGTCGGTTAGCGGCTCGTCATTGGGACGTTGGTCGACGACTCCAAGGTCGAAATGCTCGTGACTCGAGGGTGGTCGCTTTCCTACAAGGATGGCCTTCGTAGGGTGATTGCCGACTATAGCCCCTCCGACGAGCAAGTCAATGGTGGGTTGATTTCTTTATGCCTCCCCCTAGGCCGAATGTCGGCCAGGGGCTTTTATACTACTATATGAGGGTTGGTTATACGTGGGTTTGGCGTGACGATCAATCCTCGAGAGGTGAGATGGTACCTTTGGGTGGTCGCTGTCCCGGGATGCACGGAATGGCGCCATGCGGCGTCGTCCCGAGCTTACCGGGATGGGACATACCGAGCAACGCCTTGATATGATCTCTGGCTCGACATGTGAGGGTGCTCCTCTTGCTGACTTGACTGTAGTGTGACATGATATCGATCGTGACTTAACCTGAACCCAAAATATACCTTATCAATATTCATTGTCAATATTATAATAAATTTTATTTGAATCACGTTGACTAAGAAAGAGAGAGAGAGAGCGTGTGGAGGTAAAGCGGGACCTCTGCGAGAGGAGTTCTTACCGTCGTTCGCACATGACGCGTATTTATACCTGCATTTTAATTGGAGGAGCATTGGTCTCGAGTGGGACGAAACGGTGTTCGCCACATCCTCCAGTAACAACGAAGGTAGTTGGTTGGGTATGACAGAAACGGGCGGATAAATATTTTAGTTCCCCACCTTCTTGGCTGGGTGGAGGTCAATCAAATCGAAGTGGGGAATGCTCCGATTCCCTTCAAGGTTAAACTGTGCAGTTCATATGTCAATGCCAATGTAAGTTTTTCCTTACATATAACATAGTATGCACGTGAGTTTCTAGCATGTCTAATGTTTTGTTCACTTTGACACTGCACTTAAGCTTTCCTGAATGCAATTTTGGTGGCCCATACGAAGTGTTATACCTAATGTTTCTTTCTAACAGGTAATTGTCCAAAAACACTGATTTACTGTCTATAATTTTCTCTAGAACTTATGCAGGCCTGTTGAGATTTTTATATTCACATATAGACAGAATGAGATGTAACGGTTATTATTAAATATCTGATTTAATAATAACGTAACCGTTCTCATTAAGATTCATAATTCATTATCATGAATTTCTTCATTTATTATGGTTTAAATGATTTCAGTTTCTTATTTTTTATGCATGAAACCGTTATTAATAAATTAAATATTTAATATCATTAAGTTCTTCATTATGGTCCAAACGTTACAAATTTGAATTAATTCTTGAACGTTATGAGTTGGTGATGATAAATGTTCTTGATGGGAGAACATCTATATATACATGAGGATTTTGGTTCCTTGGCTCAACAATCTCTTTGAAGCGAAAGGCTTTCCTACACCATCTAAAGCGAGAGTTCTGAGCCGAGAAGAACCAAAGTTCAAGAAGAAATCTCTGCAGAAATTCTTGGCGACAATGGCTGGAGGTACGCTATTTCATTTCCGTATTAGTTTTATTGTGTTTCTATTACAATGATTTAGAAACACAAGTTGGCTTCATTAGAATTTCTTA